ATGGGATATAATACTGCACTGTACACCTGAAACTATCACAATATTGTAAATTGACTATACTTCAATAAAAGAAAGGGGTATATCTGGCAAATGGGTTGGTCATTTGAAAACTAAGTGGATGTCTCCCAATTACACAGATTTAAAAACAACAACAACAAAAAGAGTCCAGAGTTCCCTCCTCCCTTTCAAAATTCAAGAGATGTTACATTTCTGAGTCTCTTTTGGGATTTTTTTATAGAATCCTTTTCTGTGCCTTTGATGTTTTGCATTTATAAAGCTGTAAATGCAAAAACAACAGCCCTCCAAGGTGGATGTGTAGGTCCATAAAATTAATAAACACAATGATTTATTCAGAGTCTATTGCCCCACTGATGAAAATGAGAACCAGACAGTGTCTGAAGGATGAACATGACAAAGAACTAAATGGCTTAAAATTTGTGGCTACCCTTACCATGCTACCCACGTGTGCCCAAGAAGCAAATCCTCAATCAGCCTGAGCTTGGTCTCCACCTCCCAGTGGAGGGTCAGAAGGGGTGAGTGATTCCAATCAATATCCAGTTGTCAGAGTAACAGCCATGTCGGTTCTGGATGGCCGACTGGGCGAAAACATGTTTGTTCTACTTAATGTGACAGTGTCCTGTCAAATTAACAGCCACAGTGGCAGGAGCAAGCTTGCTTAATGTGTTGGAGTCAGTTCCTCAGAGAATTTATCATCAACATGCAACCAAGAGGAACCCCAAACCTCATTACCAGGGTTTATTTGTAGATAATAACCGAAGGTATGCCATGTACTTACAACAGGATTTGTTTGCCCTTTAGCCACTCAGTTTCATGTTCTTTATCAAATGCTGCCCTTTTAACTCCCACAAACTCTGCAGGATCATGCTTGGTCTGTGACTAAATACACCTGGTGAAGTGGAATATTTCAGGAACTGTGTTGAGATTATTTAGCAAGATAAAATGATGATTGGAAAGACCCAAGCATTGGATGAGGAGGACAGGGGCAGAGGGGAAATACCCATAGTTGTTTTAACCTGGTACTTCACTGTGGAGACTTTAAATGCATGCTTCCTTCTCAGGTGAGCTCTCATGCTTAAAACCAGGACCACAAACTGTTTGCCAGGTTCCTCCCACAGCTAGGCTGTGTTTGGCCTGTAGAGTATGAACAATAAATAATTAAATGTTCTCTATCATTTAGACATAAGAAAATTTCACCTACGATTCTGGATATCTTATTTGAATTTTTAAAAAAACAGAGTTGTTGGCAGTATAAGCCAGCTTTTTCACAGGACAGTAGTTGTTGGAACTGTGTGGTACCCTGTCCCTTTAGATGGGCTGAGTGCTGTTGTGGTGCCCACTGGGCCTGCTTTATTCATTTATGTGACCTATTATGTGAAGTTACCCATCCCTGATGTAAAGGTTAAATCTTGATTTTCATCATCATAGCTGTGGATGGAAAATGAAATATTATGGCTTTACCATTCATGGATGTTGTTAAGACCATTTTTACTTCTCCCTTCCTCCAACCCTTCAATCTTCCACCAGTGCCTCCCAGTGGTCTAAACCAGTGGAAGCCAGCTGATGATGGAACCTGGGAGAGGCCAGCTCTTCACAGGAGAGCACAAGAATGGCAAGGAGAATATCTGAGGACAAACTGATTTAGGAACAACAAACCCGGGGGCTAGAAAACATGGTTTCTAACTAGCTAATTGACTCTGTGACCTTTCAGAAGTGCTTGCATCAACGTGGTCCTCAGAATTTTCCATCTGTACAATGAAAAATTGGGCTAGATGGTCCTTAAAGGCCCTTAAAGCTCACGATTCTATGGTGGAAGGGTTGGTACGGCCTTGATTTCCTTGTCTGTTGATACCTGTTCGGGTTCTCATGTGACATGTGCATTCCAACTTGAGGGACTGAAAGGCAGCCAAGTAACTTACTGTGATGAGACCCAGAGATGTTTTAAGGAGGCAGAGAATGTAGCTTGCCAGATATCAAGTCTGACAGCAATAATGAAAACAATTCTGGGCAGCTTTATTTAAAAAATAAAAATTAAAAGCTTGAAGGAAATATACAAATGGCCACTTCAACTAGAGAGTTTCTTATAAGAGAATAACTCAACAGTGCAGTCCTGGCCTTTGGGCTGGCTTTAGGGTTAAAGAATCTCAACCTGGTGGAGAAAAGGGCACCCTCCTACACCATTGGTGGGAATGTAAATTGATACAGCCACTATGGAAAACAGTATGGAGGTTCCTCAAAAAACAAAAAATAGAACTACCATAATACCCAACAATCCCACTACTGGGCATATACCCAGAGAAAACCATAATTCAAAGAGACACATGCACCCCAGTGTTCATAGCAGCACTGTTTACAATAGCCAGGACAAGGAAACACCTAAATGTCCATCAACAGAGGAATGGATAAAGAAGATGTGCTACATATATACAATGGAATATTATGCAGCTATAAAAAGGAATGAAATTCGGTTATTTGTAGAGATGTAGATGGACCTAGAGAGTGTTATACAGAGTGAAGTAAGTCAGAAAGAGAAAAGCAAATATTGTATAATAATGCATATATGTGGAATCTAGAAAAATGGTATAGGTGATCTTATTTGCAAAGCAGAAACAGAGACACAGAAGTAGAGAACAAATGTATGGATACCAAGGAGGAAAGGGTTGGGGTGGCAGGAATTGGGAGACTGGGACTGATACATATACATTATTGATACTATGTATAAAATAGACAACTGATGGGGACATACTGTATAGAACAGGGAACTCTACCTAATGTACTGTGGTGTCCTAAATGGAGGAAAATCCAAAAGGGAGGGGATATCTGTATGTGTATGGTTGATTCATTGTGCAGTGGAGGCTAACACAACATTATAAAGCAGCCATACTCCAATAAAAATTAATAAAAAGAAAAAGAAGAATCTCAACCTAAATTGATGTGACTTTAGCTGCTTTTATATTCCTCAGGAAGCCAAGGAAGTAAGAGAGTGACATGGACATATATACACTACCAAATGTAAAATAGATAGCTTGTGGGAAGCAGCCGCATAGCACAGGGACATCAGCTCGGTGCTTTGTGACCACCTAGAGGGGTGGGGTAGGGAGGGTGGGAGGGAGACACAAGAGGGAGGGGATATGGGAACATATGTATATGTATAGCTGATTCACTTTGTTATAAAGCAGAAACTAACACAACATTGTAAAGCAATTATACTCCAATAAAGATGCTAAAATCAATCAATAAATAAATAATCTAAGAAAAGAAAAAATAGAACAATGTTTAATAAATACTATGTGTGACTACCATAAAAATAAATAAATAAAAATACAGTTTGTGAAAGAAAAAAAACTAACAAAAATGTACTATTTTCATCGTTTAGATCACAAATTTTTTTCAGAATAATTGGTTCAAATTTCGGAAGGAATTCTAGAGATTGATTCAACATGAGATCCAAACCTGCAGTTCCAAATGAATCATAAATTCATTTCTGTTTCCTCGTGAACTGGCTGTTGACATTGAAATACAGATGTTTGATGATGAGTTCGTTTCTCATTGTATAACAGCAACTACATAATGAATCAGGGAAAATGGCAACAGCTATTATATCTTCGTTTGCTTAAAACATATAAAAATCTTTTCATTCTACCCTATTAAATGTCAAATAACCCAACAATGACAAAAATCTAAACCTGCACTTCCAACGATTTTTAAAAGTGTATTAAATTTGTAAGGGTACAATGATATTTTCAATAAGGGTGAACACCCACTTTAAAATATATCAATTATAGAGCCAACTGAGACGTCAATAATTTAGTAATTTCTATCTCTGAAAATGGGGAACATGTAGAACAGATGCATGAAAGAGATCCAGAATCCTTCATTTTTACCTCATTTGGAACTGAAGAGAGAGACTAAGGTTGCTTACTGGCAGATAATGATAGTCTAGACACTGATATTCTTCCAAACATTAAGCCATTTGCAATATTTCTTTGACAGGTATAAAGCCTCAGAAATTAACTGTGGGAGCTGGTCCTGATTCACCCAAGATCACCCAGCAGCTGCAAGAACATTTTCTGTTAAAAACTTGATAATGAATCAAGTTTGCTTGTTAAAATGTCCAACACATAGCAGGATAAACATGGTAATATATTCCATTTTGAATATAAAAATACAGCTGACTTTAGAGATATTGCTGAAGAAAAAAGAGAAAGTAAAATATTAGAGTCTGAAAGAGAACCCGATTTTAATTAATGATTTATTTTTTTCAGTAAAGTCTTAGTTAAGAAAAGAGTTGAGGGAGAGAAATAGCAGAGCAAGCAAAGTTTTTATTTAGCTGGAATATAAACGACTTTTTCTTATATATGTAGCCTTGATGTTGAAAATCTTCCCTAAAGGAATGATCTTTCTGCCTTAAGCTCAATTGGTCTTTTATTGGGTACTCAGCATGCACCAGACATGATGGTAGGAGACTAAAGAGATAAATAAATAACCTCCCTTGTTCTCAAGGAATTCTTAGACTCAATGAGTAGAGTATATAAACGTAAGCAAGTAGTTTAAAAAAAAATTTATTCCCAGAACCCTTCGGATATATCATTTTGGGTTTCAGTTTTCATTGCCTCTGGCTTGAAATGGACATGGTGAAATGGAGGAAGGATCACTGGATTTGGAGGGAAGGGTCTTGAGGATGAAATGAAATGAAATAATATGTACAAATACTCTTAGCACAATGTGTGCTACTTTACAAATGTCAACAACATGCATATCTATTTACTTATTGTATCAAAGATATATAGCGCACATTATTTTATTGATTTACTTCTTGGTAAGAGCTTGGAGGTGGGAACAGAGTTGGACGTCACCAATTTTTTTGTTAGTTAACCTAACATATATCGTGTATCTACCAGAATAAGACTATAAGACTGAGCCACTTAAACTGAGTCTTTAAACCAGGTTGCTCAGGAAACACATAGGAAGGACATCAAAATAAAATTTTGGGTCCCAGGAATGGATTCTTTTTAAAAACTAATATTTGAAGAAAAATGTGGAAGAGGATATTTTTAAGACAAATGTTTGCAATTTAGAGCAGTTGTTCCAGTGAAATAAATGAAGGACCTATTGGTTCAGAAACTCAGACAGCAGTCAGATTTCTAAGACGGGTAGCAAATTTCAATTATTCATGAACCAGAAGAGAATCCTTCCTTTATATAAAATTTCGTCACAAGTTGCTGGAATGAGCTCACATAGTGTGCATTCTGTATAACTATTTAAAAATGAAATCTCAGCATCTCTGTCAGTGTTGAATTAAGGAACCATTAAATTATCAAAAATGTACTGATACCTTTATATTGATAGAGGTGTCAGGTGATGAGGAAATAAAAACCAGATTTAAAACTTGTCTCACTCCTCCAGGAACTCAAAATCTTGGGGAAGATAAGTTTGAAATATTAGTTGTGAAAAAAAGTAAGTACAAGTAAGTGTTATACTGATGATATAAAGTAGGGAACAAATATTTTTACAATATGCTAAGGATCTAGAGGCAACTTCATGCTATTAAACAAACTATGACGATAAGCTCTATCTCATTCTCCATTCAGGTCTAGATATTTTAAAATTACCTTGCAGAATTGTTTGTATGCTCAGAAATTTGGATTTTTGGATATTGATTTTCTCTTTTCCCTTTCCCTTTGTCTTTCATTAATTCTTTAAAACCACAGCTTTTCTGCCCATATCCTTGCTCATGGGTATTTATAACACTAACAAGGATGCATATTCCCCGGTGCCCAATCATTTTTGTTGCTATATATATATATATATATATATATATATAATTATTATTGTCTATCTTTCTCCCATAATTAAAGCTTCGCAAAAGGATGGCCCTTGTATTATTGAATGATCTGTCTTTATTTAGAAAAATAGAATATTTGTTGCTCAGTAAAATTTTGATGAATTAGTGACTGAACATAAGACATTACATCACTCTCAGAGAATCTGTTGACTTCATGGGGATGAAAAATTTTGCCAAGTTATTATAAACTGACTTTCTCTTTTTATTCCCTATTTTGTCTTACATTCTCAAAAGGCCCTGGTTACTGGGTGAATGTTCCAAAACAGTAGCTATTTTTATCAGTCTTGGGAACTTTTGAAATGGGTCTTGAAGAATGAATAAAATGAAAAGTAGATCAGTTATTTAAAAAGAGATAGTGGGGAAGGAGTAAAGGGAATAGGAATAGTAGCAAGGCAGGATAAAACTGCATGGAGTGTGCCAAGAAATGAAAGTGGTCTGGTGTGGTAGGGCTAGGCAGTGTTAGTGACTGGGAAACAGTGAAGTTGACTTTCTCCAGGCAGTCTTTTTCAGTTATTGCCACAATTCTGATGATCTGGTCATAACTTTATTCAATTTAGCACATTTACAAGTTGTTTTATATTAATTTATCTTACAGATATTCCTATTTCTTCATACTTGATATGCTTTGCTTTTTTGACTAGTTTATAAGCTCATTGATGGCAATGAATAACAGTTTTACTATGTGTTAGAATGGAACTTGAACTAGATGTAAGGTAAGCTTCCTAAAAGCAAAGACCTTATCCACCAAGAGATGAATGGATAAAGAAGATGTGGTATATATACAGTGGAATACTACCCAGCCATAAAAAAGAATGAAATTTTGCCATTTGCAGCAAGATGATGGACTTGGAGGGCATTATGCTAAGTGAAATAAGTCAGACAAAAGAAGACAAATACTGAAATATATCACTTATATATGGAATCTAAAAAATACAACAAACTAGTGAATATAACAAAAACAGAAGCAGACTCACAGATATAGAAAACAAAAACTAGTGGTTACCAGTGGGGAGAGGGGAAGGGGCAATATAGGGATGGGGGAGTGGGAGGTACAAACTATTGGGTGTAATATAGGCTCAAGGATATATTGTACAACACAGGGAATATAGCCAATATTACAGTAATAACTGTAAATGGAATGTAACCTTTACAAATTGTATAAGATTATTTTAAAAAACCAAAAAACTTAATAAAATAAAAATTTTTAAAAAGCAAGGACCTTGAGTGACTTTTTTTACCACTGTACCCTCGGTACACATGGAAAGCACACATTAATATTTGGTAGAATAATTGAATGAAAGAGGGAATGACTCAGAAAACCTGTTTTGTTGTTGTTGCTGTTTGTTTGTTTTTTAATCAGGCTTCTCCTTTCCTCATTATATGACCTTGGGAGAGAGTCACTGAATTCCTTCTAAGACTTGATTTCCTCATCAGTGAATGGGGGGTTGCTGCTGCTGCTGAGGATGAAGCATTGTTGGGAAGCCTAAGTGAGATAATGCAGGCACTTTGGGAAATGAAAATGCTATACAAATGTATATCATGGTGCTTGCTGGTCATTATTCTGAAGTCAGTATCTGCACTCCTGGAGCATAGAAGGGAACAAGAAGAAGATAAGATTGTCAATTGGGCCTCCAAAAGGGAAAACCTAACTGACATTTTTTGGCCTATATTGAAGATTTCAACCTGCCAAAACACCATTAAAAAAAAAAAAGTTTCACATTTCACTGTAAGAAATGGAGATAGAGAATCAGCTGAATAAACAGCTATAGAGATCCAATGCCAAAGACTTCTAAGATTTCAAGGTGTTGTGTTAAGTAAATATTGCTGAGTTGGAATGGGCCTCTTTGTAAGCAGATATCTCTGGGATTCATAACCTATGTCAGATTACTCTTCTCTTCTTCCCATTGTCACTTGGGAGGGAATGAAGAAATTTTCTTGCCTTGATGTAGTAAAAAAAAGATCACTGCATCAGAGCTCAGGAAACTTGGCTTACGATTCCAGCTCTTCACTAATTACTTAAGTAACCTTGGACTAACTCACATATCTGTTTTTCCTTTGTAGAATGAAATAACTGTATGAGATAAATTCTGAGGTTCTTCTGTTGTCTAAAATTTTATAATCCCTATGCATCCAGAGGAAATAGTGAATTTGAATCCCAGGCAACTTTCCATGATCACCCAGCTTCCCGAGTCCCTTATTCTACCAATATCTGTCCCCTTCACACATATTTCTACAAAATACTTTTATTCTGGTTTTGAAAGGCTTATTTTGGGGTGTCATTTTGTTGGCTAATTTGGGTCATGTCCTGTTATCCAGCAGGATGATAATAATAAGAGCTACTACTTATATAATACTACATGCTATGCACTGTTCTAAGTTTAGTACGTTAACTCATTCAATCCTCATATCAGCTTTTATAAGGTAGATGTTATTATGATACTTATGAGTAAACTGAGGCAAAGGGAGGTTAAGTAATTTGTCCAAAATCATACTACCATTAAGCGCCAGAGTAGCAATTCAGATCCAGACTGTTTTATAACCCCACCTATGTGCGCTAAACTAATAAACTATATTGAATATGGAGGGTTGGAGGAAACCTGGGAAGAAGAGATCTACATCTAGAAAGCACGGTGCCAGGCTCCCAGATCATTTTATCAGGTACCCAGGACAGGTAAACTATTCAAACAAATGAGGAGAAAAACCAAAAGTCTGAGTTCTATCCCATAGGCCAGTTTGCTCTCAAAATTTTGTTTTTGGGCTTGCCTGCCAAAAATGTGACTTTAAATATAAAACGAATAAAATGAAATCATTTCTTGGAGAACATTTCTGTGGTTCACTGTGGAATGCCAAGTTAAGAATATCTGTCTTACATTTTCAAGCACATGTGTTGTAGTAATTTTATGGGGTAATGAGTTGGCTTCCATTAAAGATATTTTATTTTTACAGGGGCTGGGGCTGGAGAAACACTATGTGGCAGGCAGTGAAATATCTTACTTTTGCAGATTACTTTAGCTAATCACCTACAGGTGAATTTTCTAGGAACTCTGGTTTTAACCCTTTGACTGCTATGGATTTCAGTGGGTTTTGACTGAAGACTTGGATATAATGGCAAGGGACCCAGTGATGAGAAGTGGAGGAGTTTGGGGTATGAAGGAACTGATCAGAGTATAACAGAAGAAATATGGGACTTTCATCTCAGTTTTAAAACTTGAGTGGTACTTGAGATCTATTCACTGGCTTCAGTAAAAAAAAAAAAAATCAAAATGTGATCATAGCTAATAATTTATAAAAGCTAGCATAGTCTCCACTTCCCAGTTTAACACATGGCAAATGTTGCTAGTTATCGACCCAATATGCATCCTCTCCTTCATTATTAACAGAAGTCAAATTTTGCTACTAAATATTCTATTCCCCAGATTATCTTGTAACTAGTGGTGCCCATATGACAGTGTTCTTACCAAGAGATATAGGAGGAATCGGCTGGGGATTTCTGGTAAGGAAACTCCTTTTCAATCCCCCTAAACGATGTCCAGATTGTAACTATGAAGCAAGAGAAATGAGTTACAATGGTGGCACAGAAAGATAGAAAGACTTAGATTTCTGATTCTGGGTGAAGGTGGTGCAGCTAGCATGACTGCTTAGGCAGAACATTCTCATTTTCTAAAAAAAGCATTATACTTTTGATGTATAAGCAGTTCCCTAATTCTGAGGCTGAGGGGAATGCTCTCCCTGTGCTTTTCCTCTTATCCACTCCCCTCCAGTGGACCCAGATTTTGGGTGTCATATGTTCCCACCTAATGGTGTCTGTGCCAAAGGGGAATGGGATCACTTGTTATTCCTTTCGTTAGGTAACTGTTGTTCTTGAACAGGGGAAACTATTCTCCATATTCTCTGAGAAAGAAAAGGGGTTGTGACCCAAGATGAGATCAGTTGCAAAAATTTGTTGAATTTCAACATAATAAACATATTAGTCAGAGTAAAATAATGTAATGAGCATTCTACCAGGAAGGGCAAGTGAACAGGAAAGAGCTGCATACCTGATTCTTGCCCCGTAGTGAGGTCGGGGAAACGTCACCCAGGAGATATGTAGGCCCTTCTGATAGAGAAAAATCTGCACAAGATAGGTGGCAGTATTCAGTGTTCTGTGACTGAAATGTTACCCAACTGGGTAGAATTCCAACAGAACATGAGATATTTGGTAGATAAGTGTCATTAAGGAAATTTGAAAGAAATTTGAAGGGAGAGTTCAAATTACCAAAGTTAAATCGGTGTGGTTCACATAGTTCATCTGATGTTAGAGAGAAGAGACAAGTTTGAGGCTGAAAGCTTTCATGTTAAGGATAGCAGATTAGAAAGATCTTTGATGGCATCATTACATTGAAACTACATGGCCTTGGGCTTCCTTTTGCATGAGCCAAATAAATCCTCTTTTTTAAAGCCATGGTTTTTTGCATTTTTATTTGCAGCTGAAACCATTTCACACTGACACATCTACTAACACATCCTCTTCTCTTTCAATACACCCAGTAGGTGAGTACTCTATGTACAGTTGATAAGGCAGAGAAGATATTGGGGGACAAACCTTGTGATAGAGGAGTTTGATTACAACTGTTTTGGCTTCTATAATCTCTACTTTGGTTTACGTTTATTTGTTTTTTGTCCAGAAATTTTTAGGATCATTGTATTTGTATGAGTTCCATGAATACCAGTTTCTTTACACCTGGAGGTAGGTTGAGGTCTTCCAAGGAGGTCTGTGAATTTTGATTTTCTAAAGACAGCTTGAGGACTGCAGGATGGAATGCAGAGAAGAAGGAAGGTGAAGTAAAGAAATAGATGGGGGTGAGCACCTAAGGTGTGCCTCGTCGTGGTACAAGTCATTATGTCATCTTGTTTACTCCTCAGGACTGTTCTTCAGGCACATTTTGTTAAAATGATTTTACAAAATCAGAAATCTGAAACTCAAAGGGGGTAAAATGTCTCGCTAATATGTGGCAGAACCAGATTTTTTATCCAGATACTATGACTCAGCATATGGATTTTCTGTGACCTTTGCCCAGGAAGAAGACATCACCCTTAGTGTCCCGGACAGTTATCAAACTTTCCTGTTGCCCTGAGTGGATACACTATCTCTATTTTCCAAGGCCATTTGCTATACAAACATACTTGAAAAGAAAATATGGAACTAGGGCAGCCATTGCCTTTGCTTGCAAACAGTGGAAAAATAAGAGCAGCCCATGGAGAATTATCTCCCAGTAGCATTAGCCTCTGTCATCCATTCCCCCCATCTCTCTGAAAACCCTCACCATAACTCTGCCCCTACGTGCCTCTTTATCTTGGGGACCTGGGGGTTTTCCACTTTTTTATTCCCTCCTATAATAAGAGAAAAGTTTTAAAAACTCATTTGAGGCAATAAAATATTTAGAATGTATCACAAAAAGTTTTCATGTGATCTTTTCAGGCAACAAAATTATAAGAATTAATCCATTAGCTCATTTATTTATTCAGTGTGTATTGTACGACAACTAAATGCTTTAATTTTACAGAGGGCAGGCTTTAACAAGTAAATAAGTTAGCCATTCAGATACTAGTAAGTGTAAAGAAGTAAATGGATGGTTTGAATTTCACTGGGGAGTGAGGCTTGGTACTTTTACATTAGATGGTCTAGAAAAGTCTCAGTAAGTTGCAAATTTGAGCTAAGAACTCAAGGATAACAAAGAGTCAGTCATGAAAAGAGCCTGAAAAAAATACTTCATACAAAAGAGCAAAGACCCTGAAAATTAAGTCCTAAATCTATTAGTCTGAAGCAGATGAAACTTTTACTGTTGTACATGCAAACAGGCAAATCTTGGAAATTTCATACAGTTTGACATGTAAAGGTTAACAGGCTTATGGTCACTGCTGTGAGAATTGGGTTTCTGAGTATTTGTTTGCTTAATCTCATTGAAAATAAGTTTAACAATTGTACAGCACATTACTAACTTTAAAATTAATTCAATGCATAAAAGTGTAAATGCTGTGTACTCTTTTGAAGGCTTCTCTATTAATCAATAGTTTAAAAATTTTAAGAAAATGGCTCAACAATTTGCAAGAACTCTGAGAAAGCATAGGTAAATATTAATGCACCTTTAGAAAGCAGATCAAATAACCTGTTAGACCAAAATGACCTAAATGAAACTCTACAAGGAGAAGAATTGGAAATTAAAAGAGGGAATGCAGTAGGAAAAACAAGTAAAAATACTGGATATTAACAAGCTTTAGTCCACATGGAAGAGTTGAATAAAGGGAATATGTGTTCTGTGAGGCAAAGTTTTGGAAATAAAATATTTCACTAATAACTACTAAATTACAAATTATGTTAAGAATATGTACTTTATGTATATGTATAGATGTAAGCTATTATGTATAGAATGGATAAAAAATAAGATCCTACTGTATAGCATAGAAAACTATATTCAATATGCTATGATAAACCATAATGGAAAAGAATATAAAAAGTGTATATGTATAACTGAATCACTTTGCTGTACAGTAGAAATTAACACAACATAGTAAATCAACTATACTTCAATTAAAAAAAAAAGAATATGTACTTTACCTCTAGGTACAGTTATTTCACTGTGGGTGAATATCTGTTGTGACGGTTAATTTTATGTGTCTATTTGACTGGGCCATCAAGTGTCCAGATATTTGGTCAAACATATTCTGGGTGTGTCTGTGAGGGTGTTTGTGGATGAGAATAACATTTGAATCAGTAGACCTAAAGCAAATTGCCCTTACCAGTGTGGGTGGGCCCGATCCAATCCTTAGGTGGCTGGAATGGAACAAAAGGGAAGAATGAGAGTGACCTCTCTCTCTCTACCTGGCTGTTTCAAGTTGAGACATTAGTCTTCTGCACTCAGATTGGAACTTGCACCACTGGCTCTCCTGGTTCTCAGGCCTTCAGACTTGACCATTGCCCCTGGCTCTCCTGGGTCTCCAGCTTGCAAATGACAGACTGTGGGGCTTGTCAGCCTCCATAATCGCGTGATCTTATTTCTTATAATAAATCTCTTTATCTATACATATATGTATATGCATATATTATATGTATATATTATAGATATACCTTTATAAACACACACACATATATATGTACAGTAGTCTCCCCTTATCTGCGATTTTGCTCTCTGTGGTTTCACTTACCCATGGTCAACCTTGTTCTGAAAATGATAAATGGTAAACTCTAGTAATAGACAACTCAGTTTTAAATTGCACCTTGTTCTAAGTAACGAGATGAAATCTCACGATGTCCCACTCCGTCCTGCCCTGGACTTGAGTCGTCCCTTTGTCCAACACCTTCCCTTCATTAGTCACTTAGTAGCCGTCTCAGTTATCAGATCGACAGTCAGAGTATCCTAGTGCTTGTGTTTAAGTAACCCTTATTTACTTCATAATGGCCCCAAAGCACAAGAGTAGTGGTGTTGGCAATTCCAATATGCCAATGAGAAGTGTTTCCTTTAAGTGAATAAGTGAACATTCTTGACTTAATAAGGAAAGAAAAAAATATGTATGCTGAGGGTGAAACAAATCTTCTATCCGTGAGATTGTGAAGGAAAAGAAAATTCATGGTAGTTTTGCTGTCGTACCTCATACGGCAAAAATTATGGCTACAATGTGTGATAAGTGCTTAGTTAAGATGGAAAAGGCATTAAATTTTTACAAGAGTATATTGTTATAATTGTTCTATTTTATTATAGTTATATTAGTTGTTACTGTGTCTAATTAATAAATTAAAATTTATCAGATATATGTATATATATAGGAAAATACATAGTATATAGAGGGTTTGATACTATCTGAGGCTTCTGGCATCCACTGAAGGTCTTAGAAAGTATCCCTCACCAGTAAGGGGGGGACTACTGTATACATACATATTAATTCTGCTTCTCTGAAGAACATGACTAATACATCTTGCTAGTGATTTAATATGTTACTTTTAACTGACATAGTGGCATTTAAAAAATGGTGGAATTTTCAAAGGAAGTATTCTGTGAATAGCCTTTGTAAGGTATCCCTTAAATTATAAAACCTAAAATAAAACTACAAATTAAGAGATCAACTAGAATATGAACCTCAGGCCCAGTAAGTAATCCCTGCTCTATGAGAAAGCAACTTAACCTAGTTTACCTTAGTTTCTTCATCTGTAAAGTGGGGATAACAATGTCTATCTTAAAAACTGTCCCAAGGATTAAGCAAATTCATGGATATAAATTTTCTAGCACAAGTCTGACACATGGTAATCATTACATAAATGTTAATAATAATTATTATTGTTATTATTTTCACCTAAATAAAGTTGATTCTGTATGAAATTATTCTAATAACTGGTGATATGCTCAAAGATTAATAAGATTATACAAAAGTTTGTGAGCCAATAAAAGGGTATAGGAGTAGAAGCTGCTTATATAGAGGATATAGCATTATCTTTTAGGCAAATAAAAAGATACTTTTCAGTTAAGATATCTCATATTTCTACATCTAGTCAACATCAACTGTAGCAAAAAAACAGTGGGCAACAAAGCACATCATAATGGGATTTGGGGACCCCCTGGGCTAAATCATTTAAACAGTCTCTGTTCTACTGAGTTCCATGAGGGCAAGGCTCAGATCATTTACTAGGATGGCCAAAAGGTTTGTTTTTCCCTAAGATGGCTCTAGTGTCACTTAGTTGTCTTTAACTTCATTTGAAACAATTTTGTTAGATTGTATGTGACAGCTGTCATATCAGCATGCATTTAAAAAAAGACATCAAAATTGGTAAATTTTTGTGTAGCCATTTTAATATTGAAGATGGAAGAAAAAAAGCAACATTTTCAGCATATTATGCTTTATTATTTCAAGAAAGGTAAAAATGCAACCAAAAAGCAAAGATTTGTGCAGTGCAGGGAGAAGGTGCTGTGACTAATCAAATGTGTCAAAAATGGTTTGCGAAGTTTCATGCTGGAGATTTCTTGCTGGACGATACTCCACGGTCGGGTAGGCCAGTTGAAGTTGGTAGCGATCAAATGGAGACATTAATTGAGAACAATCAACATTATACCAGGAGGGAGATAGCCAATGTACTCAAAATGTACAAATCAAGCGTTGAAAATCATTTGCACAAGCTTGGTTACGTTAATCACTTTGATGTCTGGGTTCTACTTCAATTAAGTGAAGTAAACCTTTTTGACTGTATTGCCACATGCAATTCTTTACTGAAATGTAATGAGAACGTTCTGTTTTTAAAACAAATTTTGACAGGCGATGAAAAGTGGATACTGTACAATAGTGTGGAATGGAAGAGATCGTGGGGCAAGGGAAATGAACCGCCACCAACCACACCAAAGGCTGGTTTTCATCCAAAGGTGATGTTGTGTATACCGTGGGATTGGAAGGGAGTCCTCTATTCTGAGCTCCTTCCAGAAAACCAAACAATTCCAGCAAGTACTGCTCCCAATTAGACCAACTGAAAGCAGCACTTGATGAAAAGTGTCCGGAATTAGTCAACAGAAAACGCATAATCTTCCATCAGGATAACGCAAGAGCGCGTGTTTCTTTGATGACCAGGCAAAAACTGTTACAGCTTGGCTGGGAAGTTCTGATTCATCCTCTGTATTCACCAGACATTGCACCTTCAGGTTTCCACTTATTTAGGTCTTTTCAAAATTCTCTTAATGGAAAAAATTCAATTCCTTGGAAGACTGTAAAAGGCACCTGGAACAGTTCTTTGCTCAAAAAGATAAAAAGTTTTGGGAAGATGGAATTATGAAGTTGCCTGAAAACTGGCAGAAGTTAGTGGAACAAAAGTGTGAATACATTGTTCAATAAAGTTCTTGGTGAAAATGAAAAATATGTCTTTTACTTAAAACCTGAAAGCACTTTTTGGCCAACCCAAATATTTCTCTATTCTCTTTGCTTACCATGAGATAGCCACTGGCCTGAACACTTTTCACATTCCTGCTCAGAATAACCTATGAGGTGGCTATTATTATTGTCCTTATTTTACAGATGAGGAAACTGGAGCACATGAGTTAGCTGACTTGTCCAAGGTCAGACAAAGTAATCTGGGGAGCCCAGTCAAGGGTCCTCAGGTCACGTTTTTGACCACCAAGTTGTACTGCCTCTCATTGTCTGTTAAATACATCTACACAAGTGGTATAAAAGAGGCTTCAGAATGGAATCTCATTCTGTGTGCAACTTTAATCTAAACATTTGTTCCAGAAAGGAAAAGGGAAGAGATTATTGATATCATAAACACATTCTCAAAAGTTATCATCAAACTTGTATTTACCAAGTACCTATGTATCCCATCTCAGGGAATTTTGAGCACACAAACTCTTTTGAGAACTGATGAAAACTAGGAACACCCTATATATGAAGATTCTCCTGTAGTTTTAAGGATTTCACAATCAGTCTGAAGGTAGTTCAAATACCTCAGTTTAAGAACTCCCTACGATATCTTACTCAGTCCTCAGAAAAATCCTGGAAAGTTAGCATTCTTACATCCTTCTACCAATGAAGAAACTAAGATTACAGATTGGAATGATTTACTTAAGGTGACATAGTTGATGAAAAGCAACACTGAAACTAAACCCAGATCAATCTAGGTCTAAGTTTAGTCTATTAAAGTTTTACTAAACAACTTCATATCTAGTTTTTTTTTAAACTTTCTCTATTACTTGGAATCTGAATTTTTCCATGCAATTTAGAGACATTAAAAAGAAAAAGTTCTGATTCCTCTGGTTGTCCCCTGGCAATTATAATTTGAACTTTAAAACATACAATATAACAATGAAATTATTTTAAAATGTCTGTCTGCTAGGAGGTTTTTACTTTAGAAAATAATGCCTCATTAGCTGACACAGAAATGCATTCTTTCTGCATGCCTTACTTTGATTTTGCAAACTGGGCACTGGTGTTATGGTTTGATGGAACTCTGGGGTCACAGAGTTCATGGTAAGTTAATTCAGCTCAGGGTTTGGCCTAAGACACCAACTGGCTTTAGATGCAAGAGTATATCCAAATTATATGAAATTTATTTGGCACAGTAAAAATCAACAATTATAATTAAACGTTCCTAGCATAAAGCTGGAAATGACTTTCGGCTTGAGAAGTGGGGCCAGGTCCAAAAAGATCGTGAAGACTTTGAGCTTTGAGAAAGCATCATACTGTCATTAACATTTCCACCATTGCTTGAAAAATTCTAATTGAAATGAGAATATCAGTCAAAAAACAAAGAAAAACCCATTGTTTTTCCCATAGGGAAAATGTCTGAAAGAAAAATTCATAAATGAATGCAATTTACAACTAATTGACATCTTACCTGTAGTATGATTTTTAGTGTAGCCTTGATCTTTAATGAAAATGAGAACTGTGTGTTATATTTAGCTTCTAATTGGCCGTTGGGGGCAGAAGGGGAATAATGCTTAACAATATCCTTTTAAAGTTTTGAAAGAAATTAGTTTTGTGATCTTGAATCAAAACTAGTGCTGAAAAATGATTCCAAATAACAAATGTTTCTAATAACAAAATAATAGAAAGTCACCTCTGACTATGTTTGACTTCTCCTGAAAACCAAGGTCTCATGGTCACTAACCCATTTCAAAGTACTTTTTAAATGACTAAATACTTGTAAAATAAACATGTCATTTCCAAAAAGGAATGAGGAAGGAGAAAGTGTTAAGATTCATGAGCTAACTCTATCATGAATTCCTACACTATTTCTTTCCTTAAATTTTTCCCTACAGCTTTACTGAGGTATAATTTACATAACATAAAATTTACTCATTGTAAGTATACAATTAAATGGCTGTCAGTACATTTATAGAATTGTGCAACCATCACCATAATCCATCCAGTGTTGGAACATCCTTGTCATTCCCAAAAATTCCTTTGTGTACCTTTGCAGTTTAATCCCCAGCTCCACACCTAGCCTCAGGCAACAGTTGGTTTGGTTTTTTTTCTCTACAGCTCTACCTTTTCTGGATATTTCATGTAAGTGTAATCACACAAAATGTAGTCTTTGGTGTCTGGCTGCTTTTTTAAAAAATTGAAGTATAGTTGATTTACAATATTGTGTTGGTTTCAGGTGTACAACATAGTGATTCAATATATATATATATATATTTTTGCGGTACGCGGGCCTCTCACTGTTGTGGCCTCTCCCATTGTGGAGCACAGGCTCTGGACGCGCAGGCTCAGCGGCCATGGCTCACGGGCCCAACCGCTCCGCGGCATGTGGGATCTTCCCAGACCGGGGCACGAACCCGTGTTCCCTGCATCGGCAGGCGGACTCTCAACCACTGCGCCACCAGGGAAGCCCGTGATTCAATATTTTTATAAGCTATACTTCACTTTAAGTTATTGCAAAACAGTGGCTGCTTTAACTTAGCATAATGTTTTAGAGGTCCAGCTATGTTGTGGCAGGGTCAGCACTTTGTTCCTGTTTTATTGTTAAGCATTATTCCTTTGAATGGATAGACTGCATGTTGTTTATCCTTTCACCAGTTCATGGATATTAGAATTGTTTCATGTTTATGGTATGGCAGTTATGAGAGACACTGCTATAAACATTCACATATAAGTCTTTGTGTAAACATGTATTTTCATTTCTTTTCAGTAGATAAGTAGGAGTGGAATTGCTAGATTGTATGGTAAATATTGAGGACTGAATTGTGTTCCCTCCAAATTTATAACTGATAATATGTGGAGACTGGGCTTTTAAAGAAGTAAATGTAGTTAAATGAGGTGATAAGGATGGGGCTCTAATCTCATATGATTGTTGTCCTTATAAGAAGAGGAAGAAACACCAAGGATGCATGTGCACAGAGGAAAGGCCATGTGAGGACACAACAAGAATGCAGCAAGTTGCAAGTCAAGGTGAGAGGCATCGGAAGAAACCAAACCTGCCACACCTTGATCTTGGTCTCCCAGCCTTCAGAACTGTGAGAAAATAAATTTCTGTTGCTTAAACGTCTCGTTTATGGTATATTTTTATGTCAGTCCTACCAAACTAATTCAGCAAGGTTATGTTTAACTTTTTAGGGACTGCCAAACTATTTTCCATACTGACTGAACCATATTTATATTCTCATTAGTAATATATGAAAGTTCCATTTTCTCCACCTTCTCACCAACAGTTGATACTACCTGTCTTTCTGATTATAGATATTCTAGTGGATGTGAAGTATTATCATACTGTAGTTTTAATTTGCATTTACCTAATGATTCATGATATTGAGCATATATTCTTGTGCTTATTAGCCATTTAGCTTCTTTATCTTCTTTAGTAAAACATCTACTCATGCCTTTGGCCATTTTGAATTGCTATGTGTTTTCATATTATTGAGTTCTCTAATAGTCTAGACAAAAACCCTTTATCAATGTATGATCTACAAATATTTGTGTGCTGTGGGTAGTTTACCTTTTCCTTTTAAAAAATATTTTCTTTTTAATGGTATATTTTGAAGCATAAAAAGTTTAAAATTTGATTAAGTCCAATATACACATTTTCTTTTTATGATTTTGCTGTCACTTTCCTACCTAAGAACTCTTTGCCTAACCCATAATGTTCTCCTGTGTTTTCTATTAGAAGCTGTATAGTTTTAGCTCTTACATGTAGATCTATGATTTATTTTGAGTTAAGGTTGTGTAAGATGTGAGATAAGGTTCTAAATTCGTTCCATTTCATATAAATATCCAATCATCCCAAAGGAATTTGCCCTGTAGAATTGCCATGGTGCTTCTGTTGAACATCAATTGATTGTAAATGTGAGGGT